TGTGTGTGTGTGTGTGTTAGGGGGAAATGATGTTTCCTTGTGCTACAGAGACAAAGTTACTTTCTAAGTAAGCTTACTTTAGCCATAAGGACAGGAAATTGCAGCATGCCCAAACAATTTAGGTACCAGCCCTGACTCAACTCCCCTGTTGGATCTCCCACATTTTTAAACTTGCTGGGCCTCAGCAACATCCGTGTGCTTTCTTGACATTGCTCACTAGCAAACACACTCTCACACTCTCCCTGTGCAGGGTTCCCCCATGTGAGTGCTCCTTCGGAGGCCTTCTGACAGCCAAAGAAGCAACTTAAGTTTTCATGGAGTCATTCACACCATCCAAACTTCCCTCAAACAAGTGATTTGCACTTACAAAACAACCATCCACATACAAGCCCCTCTTCCAGTTTCTCCATCCTTCCTGAAAACACATGTAACAGCTCTGACCTTTCTGGAGGATGCTACTTTCTGTATTGTCTTCACCAGCCTTCTGTGGAGGTATCTCTTTTCCCAGTGGAGAAGCATGTTCTAGCATTGCCTCTTCTTGGCTTTTCACCAGTTTATAGGCTGCAGTTTACTCCAGATGAGCTCTACTATACTTGAAATCCATTACACTCAATAAGAGTTGTCAGGTAGTCTTTGACTTGTAGTCTCTATTGTCTTATTAAAGATGGTCTCTACTGGCCTAATAATGGTAGATGATTTAGTTGCTGCTCCTCTGTCAGTCAGGCAGACTCCTCCAGAACCTTGTGGTTTTTTTACTGTGCAATCTGTGGACAAAGGTACCAAACCATTTGTGGTTAAAACCAAAAAAATCCTGTGAGCACCTGTACTCAAATTCCTAAACATCTCTCATGTGAAACTTGAAAGAAGGCAAACTGATTTAACTACTCTGCAAACAGAGCTCATACATTCAACTAAATTGTGCTGCCAAGCATCAGCTGGTCCATGATAGCAGTGTGCACACTCACAGCTCTCAGCAGAGGTGAGAAGAAATGCAGTGAGCCTGGATCCTTTCTACTGGTGTTTAAAGCTAATGGTTTTTAATTTCCTATTTGCCATGGCCTGAGACACAGTTGCACTGATGCGTGCCAGCTCATCAAATTATTGCAGCTCAAAGACCTACATTTGCTGATAGACAAGTGTAGCTTTTGAAGACGAGTTTCTAAGTGGTTGTAAGAGCCAAGCAGACTTTTCAAGAACTTTCGATTTTCTTGTTGAAGCAAACAGAGATTTAGATACTTGGGTGGTTGGGTATTTTTTGCAAATTCCACCAGCCTGCTAAATACCTCTGCAAGTCTGAGCAGCTCAGTCAGTTTAGAATATGGGATGTTGCCCTTGATGACTTGGGACTTTTCTTGTGAAGATCTCAACATGCAGACCTGAGTTCTTCTCATTTGAGGAACATTTATATTCAAGCTTAGCCTGAATCCATTCTAAAATTCAAGTGAACATCAAAAAACAAATCTGCACTTGAATCCTACCTATTCTCAGAGTCTGAAGCTCTGGTTTTAGTTCAGTAATTTGCCACCCAGACATCTTAGGCTCAATTTTTTTATGCTTTCCTGGTTTTGTGAAGGATGGGGGACACAGTGTGTGCATGGGGGGGCGGAAGTAGTGATAGCCAATGGCAAAGAGCCAAAGCTGTTAGGTTCAACTGGAATTTACTTGCTCGCTGCACTGAGGTGAGTGTGCAGCCCTGGCACAGTGTGATGCATGCTGCATGTGCAATTCCAGTCAGCTGTCAAGGAGCCATCAGCTCCTTGAAACTCTTCCAGGGGCCACTGTAGAGAGGATAGTAGGGGTTTGCCATCCCCATCAGTGAGAGTTGTGTTTATACACTTGGAAATTTTCTAGAGCAGACTTACAGCAGTATGCTACTGATTAAAAACAGCATCATGTATTGCAAATAATGAGGTGAAAGTAAAGTTTAGTGTAAATTGTATCTCTGCAGAACTGTAAATATTAGCTATAAGTTACTGTAAGCAGAGGGTGTCTGCCCTGGCCTGCACGTTCCTGACATTGACTTGCCTCTGTGGGAGCGCCATCCCTCCAGCTGACCCCAGGGAGGTCCACTCCTTCCAGGACTAGCAGTAGAGCACAACCAAAACCAACTGACTGATGCTGGGATGCCAGATTCCTGCAGTGCTCTCCTGATGGGGCTATTCACCAACCAACCACCTCAGCAAACTTCCAGCACAGTCCAAAAGTGCTGGTTCAACAACAAACCCACAGGTCCTTCCTCTCTTCCCTCAGGTTTCTAAAAAATTCCTGCCTTGGCCAAAAAGTGTCTTTTTGTCTCCTTGACGAATATCAGTTAAGTGAATATTTTCCAATTTGAAACTGCTCCCACCAAGACAGACCTTTTGCAGGTCTGTCTTGAGATGGGACCAGACTGAGCCCACCACGGGTGTTTAGCCCAGTACTGCCCACTGATGGTCGTGGTGAATGATTCACCACTGACCTAGGGAATCACATCACCTTTACAGGGATTTTAATGAAGGACTGGACAGAAAGAAAGCATGGAGATCTTTGAGAAATGCTGATCTAGATCAGTGAATTCAGCATGAATTACTGACCTAGACTAAGCAGGTTTTGTTGTTATAGTTATCACAGAGTACGCAGGATGATGAAAAAAATTGTTGTTTTTGGAACGCAGGAGTATTGCCAACTCAGATCAACTGGTAGAAAGTGCCCTGGGAAGTCAGAGCTTGAGGAATCAAAGGAGAAGGAAAAGAAAAAAAAGATGGTTAAAGTTTTTGTTTTTTTTTTTTTTTTTAATTAAGATTCTTACACTAAAGAATAATTTTCTATACAGTCTTTCATTGAAGGAGTTTGAGAATGAATTGCATGTGCGCCAGGAACCACTTATGTGGCCCTTACTATGCTATTACCTGAGCACCTCCCACATTATTAAAAGGCACAAACCAGTAAAGCAATATAACCTCCCTTCCCCTGTTCTGTACAAACTAAGTCTAGAAAATAAGGTTTTTTCTAATATGTGTGTGTCTCAGAGACTGTGCATCTGAAAAATTATTGATGGAAGGGTGATGGAAGAACTGAGTTTTGTCACTTTGTGAGAGGAAAGGTGACAGAAATTAAAGTGGTAGCCTGAGACTTTAAATTTCACACTCTTCTACAGACCTCCTGCGCGGTCCAGGGGAAGTCAGTTGTGCCCAGAGCCGCACAAGGGGTGAGCCACAGCGGTGTTTGGCGTCGCAGTGCTTAACTGCAGCCAGCTGCCTGCCTGGGATCCACAGCTGTGGGGTGGGCAGCTGGGCTACATACGCCCCTTGGGGTGGAGGGACAGAGAAAGGAAAGCTCCTCTGCATCCGTCTGACAAGAAGGGACCCGTCTAGGCTGGTCATTGGCAAATTATTGCCAGTGGAGAATTATTTCTGCCCTGGTCCCAGCTGCAGGTACCTTATTCTGGGTAAGAAGGAGGAAGCTATCACTGAACAGCATTCTCATCCATGAATGAAAGAAATGGAAATTGGTTTCATTTTTTTCAAAAATTTCATTGGTTTCATTTTTTCCAAAAATTTCAAATGGGAATGGACATTTTTCTGTGAAAAATGTTAATGAAAATAAGGTTTTTCCAGCCAAAAAGTCTGACTGCCTCTTTCCTTTCACATTCCTCCTCTTGTAGATGTCACAGATGAGGTGACCATTGGGGTAGGTTTCAGCTAGAAGGGAAACCTGCAATTTTTGCCAGATATCATCTCTTCAAAGCACACTGCTTTGTTCTCTGTAGGACTGGTAGGGAGAGTTTATAGTAAGGGCACTGGCAAACGAAGCTCTGGTTTCAGAGATACTCTTTACAGTTTGAAAATGGGAAATAGCATCAATAATGTTAATATCTCTGACCATTTCAGGTGTGCTCATTAAATGTGTTATTCATATCCCTTTTCAAAAAGCATTTTATATTCTCATACTGAACACGTCATCGTCCTCATTGTAACAGGTACGAACCCCAGATTCCTGCAGGAATAGAAAGACAGGCTGACAGGAATCCATTTTAGCACCTAGAAGCTAATGTCTTTGGTTGCTTTCCCTTTAACCACTCTTAACAAGCCACCTCTCAGAGACTGGTTTTGCTTTCAAAGTAAAATGCAACTGTATGGCCATCTTAGGGATCTGGACAGTTGAGCTATAAAACCCCTGTTGTTTCTGACAGCAGCAGAACCCCCTGCCCTGTGCAGTTCATTTTCCATATTCCATAGTTGCCAGTTATTATGCTGTGCTGAGCACACACACGTTGCAAGCAGGAAGTAGGAGCAGCTCAGCTCTTGGCTTCTTCAGTCTCAGGAGACCGCCATGAAACTGAAAAACACTAAACTAAAACCTAAGTATCTGTTAGACCTTTAATTAGCGACCTGAGGAGTGTTTGCCAAGAGGAAATTTGAATTCAATTATCCAAATAGAAAGTATTTAACCTCTCAATAGCACTCAAGTAATTATAATACTTGGGGGGCTTTTTCGGGAACCTTAAAAAATAAAACAAAAAGCAAATTAAGAAATGGTAGAAAGGGTTTAGTTTTGTATCACATGGAGTATGAAAGGAGAGCTGTAACATTGCCCATGCTTTAGCCTGCTCATGTTAGCACAGAAAGGGGCAGCCTCAGGCAGGGAGAGCAGGTTGCAGGATTCTGGATTTCCCCGCTGAAACAGCCAGCAGCAGTATCGGGGCCAACAGTGGTAGTTTTATGTGCATCAGTACAACAACAAACACACAACTAAGATCAGCAGGTCATCTCACACGGCTTTTAATGTGATAAAGATGCTCAGTCAGTGTCAGAAGGACTAGGACACATCAGAGGAGGCTGGATATTCCAGTACATCCTGCAAACATCGCTCAAAACCAGCCGAGCCATTTGCATTTCAGATTGCAGCAACAGTTCCTGTCCCAATCCCAACTGCCCTTTCACTACACAACCACTCAGAAGTTTCCAGAATTAATTCCAAAGGAAAAAAAGTCAATATTTTTCTTCTTCCTCTCTTCACAGACTGTAGGTTGCTTTGGGATTATGTTTATCAGCTGCTTTCTGACAGCCGGTACGAAAATTTCATCCGATGGGAAGATAAGGAATCCAAAATATTTCGGATAGTGGATCCCAACGGGCTGGCCCGGCTGTGGGGAAACCACAAGGTAAGGAAGCAATGCAGTTTTCCTCCTGCAGCACTTCACCTCCTGTGACATCACAGGATTCACTTATAAACAGGGGAAAAAGGAAGAAAGCGTGTGCATGTAAACTACTGCTGGAAAGTTGTAATCTTTCATTCTACGCACATGAGAAATAAAAAGCATCCAGCCTCAAGCACTAAAACCTCTCCTTCATATAGAGAACTTGTTGGTTTGGTTTAAAGGCATTTAGTTATAAATGCATTTAATTACAAAATTACAAGGAGTGCAAGAATTAACGGTCCTTCTCTCACAAGGCATCTCATTCCTTCCTGCAGCTAAGGATACTCTGGTTAGATGTGGTCTACAAGGAGCTGTGTGCTACATCTCAGCAGGAGCTTTCTGTCTGTGCTCCCGTCTGCACCAACATCACGTTTCCCGCGCTGTCCTGTGACAGGCACCAAACGCTGCAGGATTATGTATTTCCTTTTATGAGAGTAACTCTGCTTTGTTCTCTGGAAAGCAGTTACTGATTTTTGCAGTTTGGGGCTGAGTATGTATAGAGATGTCTGTCTGAGTATATGCATATGAGTGTATTCATATGAAGAGATGAGTAGACAGCATGGATTTACAGAAGGGAAAGCATGCTTGACCACCCTGATACCCGTCTATGATGAAATTATTAGCTTGGGGGATGCAGGGAGAACAGTGGATGTGGCTTGTCTTGACTTTAGAAAGGCTTTTGAGCCAGTCTCCCATAATATTCTCATAGGCGAATTAATGAAGAAAGAATACAGTGAGGTAGATTGAAAACTGGCTGATCTGCTGGGCTGGAAAGATCGTGATCAGTGGCACAAAATCCAGTCACCGGTGATGTTACCCCAGGGACTGATTCCGGGACCAATACTCTGTATCATGTTCGTTAATGACCTGGATGATGGAGCACACCCTCAGCACGTTCTCAGACAATACAAAACTGGGAGGAGTGGCTGATACACCAGAGGGTTGTGTTGCCATCCAGAGGGACCTGGACATGGTGGAGAAATTGGCTAATGGGAATTCTAGGAACCTTAAGAAGGGGCACTGTAAAGACCCCCACCTGAGGAGGAATGACCTGGAAAGGTGTGGGACTGTTGTAGCAGAAATGTGGTCAGACACTGTAGCAGGTTGCCCAGAGGATACTGTGGAGTCTCCATTCTTGGAGACGTTCAAAACCCAACTGGACACAGTCTTGAGCAACTGTCTCTTTGAGCAGTGGGACTGGACTAGGTGATCTTCAAGGTGCCTTCCAACTTGAACTATTCTGTGATTCTGTATATGAGTGTACATACCCTATAGTCTTGATAAGGTCAAGATTTTCTCATGTGACTCACGGCTTACGAGAACATCTGTCGTAGAGGTCTTGGGCTGCAACACTGCGAATGGAGAGGTCTGCCCTTACCCCACCTCCATGCTAATAATTGGGCCTTCCCATTATGTCTCATGTTGGGTATCTAAAACTGAAGCTACTTAAGACCACTAGCCTCTTGGGAAACACAGTGACCTTTTAGCAGCCAAGTCATCCTTCCCCTGTACTCAGCTTTGGTGAGGCCACACCTTGAGTACTGTGTTCAGTTTTGGGCCCCTCACTACAAGAAGGACATTGAGGTGCTGGAGCGTGTCCAGAGAAGGGCAGTGAAGCTGGTGAAGGGTCTGGAGAACAAGTCTGATGAGGAGCAGCTGAGGGAACTGGGGTTGTTTTAGTCTAGAGAAGAGGAGGCTGAGGGGAGACCTTATGGCTCTCTACAACTACCTGAAAGGAGGGTGTAGTGAGGCAGGTGTGTGTCTTTTCTCCCAGGTAACTAGTGAGAGAACAAGAGGCACTGGCCTTAAGTTGCACCAAGGGAGGTACAGATTGGATGTCAGGAAATCCTTCTTCACTGAAAGGGTTCTCAGGCACTGGAACAGGCTGGGG